CCATCATCTTTGTGCAGCTAGGATATGGAGCTCCTAAGTGGATCTCTGCCAGATCCCATAAAACATACAATTTCTTATCAAAGCTTAAGAAAAACAACTGTAATACATTATAGTTCAATGTAGGCCTATAGTATCTAACTCGAGTTCTTAACTTCAAAGGATCTAAGCCTTTGTTTTCAATCTACTCAATAATAGCAAAGTTATGTCAGAGACAGTAGTCATCTCTCATAGTTTCTTACAGTAATATACTTTCTTATCAATCACTGTACCACTGTACATAAACCACTGGACACATGCTGACACATTGTTCTGACCTAATATGTTCCAACAGTGAGCCATAACACCAGTCCTTGTTGTTTGCAGATTTTAGAGTTTATTTCCAGTTAAGTTACACTGAAACAGGACATCAGAAGAGTTTAGTGTTCAGGAGCAAAAAATAAGACTAATTTCCAAGAAACAATGCTTTTTTACTTTCTTAAATTAGTATCATTAGTCACAGCTGCATTTACCCTACTATTTCATGTCAAAATGGCTGCTATGAAAACGGTCTATTGGAAAATGTTTGGAAATGGGCAGGGACTTTCAAAAAATACTTGGCAGGTGATTGGATCATTTGTCTATGACAGGAGAACTTCAACCAATCAGATCAACAAACCATATAACACAGTCAAACTCTTACTAAAGCCAGTCGCGAAAAAGAAAATGTATACATCTTTTTTAACGAGAAAAGTCCTCAGTGCCATTATTTGTTCTTCTTTTAATAAAGAAATACTCTCCAGTTTTGATATAACTATGCTAGCAGCATCTATGCTAACCTCTTTAGCAGCTGGCAAAACAGTCACTTCTCACACGTGTTTTCACACAACAAGCATTAAACCACAGCCATAACTCATACTGTAGCTGCCAGTAGTTCCTCATAGGACGCTGACTGGTCTGGTACCAGTGTGGTTGGATACAAGTGCATAGCCTGAAGCCTGGATTCATGTATGATTTTGTGATGTCCAGCTGCCCTGCACAGTTAGCCATTAGTAGCACAAATTAAATGTAACAGAATTTTAAGCATCGTAATTTAATGTCTTTGCCAAAATGAACCTTCGTAGATGTCGTTAACATATTCCCTGAACACTGTATCTGGAAAGATCCAATGGTATCCAAGTTTATGGAATGTATCCAGATCTGCACATCGTATCATATCATCTAACAACAAAAATAAAACTTGTTAAAGATCCATTTCAGTCAGACAACTCATGTTTGAAATGTTTATTACAGCAGTATAGCATATTTAGATTTTTGGTGTCTAGGCTCCGACCTCATCACTCCCCGCAGATATGTTTACAGAGATATTGGGGAGTGATGCGCAAATAACCTGTAACCCCATTCGGAGCCTACAGGTGGAATGCTGGAGGTTGGTGCGTTGGGCTTAAGAGCAAGGCAGGCAGGCAGCAATACTTACAGAGCAGCAGCGATGTGATGCAAGGCAACTTTTTATAAAATAATTAGATATTTTCTATTGCAATTGCTAATCTTTTGTACTAATGAGTTTTATACAGCAGTAAAATAACTCCAACTGTGAGTTACATAACTATGTATAATAAAGAAACAAATGTCTTGACTTTCTGGAACAGGGCCACCTTAATTGGTACCCGTCCTTTGCAAACATATATCCTCTAGGAGAAGCCAGAGGAACTTTTCACAGATTATCTGTCTGATGTACTACTGTCAGGACACAGTGAGAATTTCAGCAAATATGATTGAGAAGATCATTTTATAAAAGTTACCTACTGCAGCTTTAACTGGGACAGGCGTTTAATTCCTTTAGCACTAAACTCTTTTGAGATAGGAAATACAATCTAATTGTGCTGCTTTTGTTCAGCAAATTTGACAACTAACATCTTGAATTGTAGATCGTACCCCTGTTTTGGTCTCTGTCAACTCCTCCATCTGGCTCTTTGGCTGCCTAAAATGGAGCTATCGTGGTTCAGTAACTAGAGAAGGCCCTCCATTCCCCAGCTCCCCCTGAGCAAGACCTGCCCTGTCCATTGCTTCTAGTGTGCAGTATAGTGGTGGTTTCCTTCCTATCATTATGGATATTATATTCATATTATTCAAAACTGTACAATGAACCCAAAATACTGAACTCAGTAACTACGACGAGTCTGTGTAAAACAAGTGATTGGGATGAATTTTCTATACATATTTCTGTCAGTTTTAATAATTTTTTATCATTTTAACTTAATAAGCTTCTTTTTTGTGACAGATTCAGTGTTTTCTTCTCTCTGACGCTTGGCCATTGTTTTGTATACTTTACATTAATACTTCACAGAAGTAAATGGTAAATGGTCTGTCCTTCTGTATATAGCGTCTTTCTAGTCTTTTGACCACTTAATGCACTGTACACTACATCCCACACTCACCCCATTCACACACACATTCACACACTGATGGCAGTGGCTGATGGCATGCAAGGTGCCAACTGCTCACCAGAACAGAAACTAATCATTCACACAGC